GTGTGAAAAAATCATGACCATCGGAGATTAGTACTCTATATGAGATATACTAGAAAGTGGTCCGCCAACTTAGTTTATATATCGTTTGAAAGCTCTTTTAAACTGGTAGAAAATTCTCGAAATTCATTGGGAATAGAGGAGTGAAATTATTAGATCATCATCGCAGGGATGAGTTGTACCGGTGAGGATCGTAGAATCGTGAAGGGTGTTCTTGGTGCTGAAAGAAGTGTATGATCAACAATGATCGGGCGGTAATATGATCTAGTGATAGAATTAGAATATTGGAATGCATTAAGATGTTCGGATATGATATGGTATTGGATTGATTGCTGTTGAAGAGTGGTCGCTTCAATATGTGGGGGAGATGGAGAAGAGAGAAAGTGTATATATGCATCTTCGATATTTGTTTATGTGCCGAAGCCACGTGTTCAATATGAATTTTGCTTAATCAAATAAAAAAGTCGAGTTTAATGGATATCATTGGCGATTGCATTCATTCTATTAAACAAACTATTTGAAAAGCATGACGTAATTATAAATATGCCGCAATATTACTGTCCTTGTGGATCTATTCTAAATCCGAATTCAACTGTAAGATTCTTAAAATCGCCTTCGCTGCGTTTGTTTGTATCAATCCGTACAATGAAATCTGCTTCTCCAGAAACAAAAGTTTGCAATGTTTGTCGTACGGCTTACTATACTTGGAAAAGTAACAATGCTGAATTTGGAAACATTTTTTCACGAATTGAAGAAGAAACGACTGATGTTGAAGAAATGATCAATATGCATTCGGTAAATAGAGATTTCTTTGAAATGAAACATACTTATGATTCATGTTATATATTATTTGATAGAATGAATCAATAGATATGGATCAAGGATACTTAAGTAATAGAACATCTAGATTAATGCAAGCATCAGAATCATTGATGTAAGTGAATCGAAGATCCACACCTATCATCAAAGAATATGCTTTGATTCCCATATCTGATTTTTCGATATATTTGTGACATTTCTTCACTGCAGATGAATCGTTTGAATCTATTGGCCAACTGCTCCACCATACGTGCAGTTTTCATCCGAATGTTAAATTAGTACGTCAAATTGATAGGAGTGATCAGTTTTTTTTATGTATTCATCAAAAATAGAAAAGGACTAATGAATATTCCTTTTTATTATGAAGAAACAGTTGAGGCATATGTGACGTCATCTAGATGATCTGATCATTCTCCAAGGACAATCATTTCGATCGTTGGAACCGGCATCTTAATAGGCCTGAAACGGCTATAAAATGGTGTAATAAGGCATTAATTTTCACCGTATTTGTCGTTTTCCGACCTGACGGAAAACGGCGCCATTTTTCAACGCTCTATAGCGTTTTTACGCCGTCTACGGTCATTCACGCACCGTTTTCTTGGGCATGGAACAATGTATGTGTTCAGAAACACAGTATATATTGCTATTACAAGATTAGTACGTTATTCAATAACTTTGTGTTAGTTCGAGTAGAAAATGTGCCAAACAAAACTCACGCATTTCTCTTTCATGAGAAAGTTTCTGGTATTCCTTAACGCTTCTAGTTGACTATATTGAAATGGAAAGTATTCAGACAAACGTATTAATCACTGGATGAATAGTTTTTCAACGAAAATTTATCCAAAATTTTCAATATACTAATGCTCAAATCAACAGGATGTGGGTGCGGGCATGCCAGGTATGTCAGCATGAGTGGTTCACTTGCCCGAAAACCAGGGGGGGGGGGGGGGGGGGGCGGGGGGGGGGGGGGGGGGGCGGGGGGGGGGGGTCCTTTGCCACCAAACCAACCCCCCCCCCCCCCCCCCCGGTCGCCCCATCCCTGCTCAAGTGTGAAAGTACGATTTCATCCAATTGTCTACAATGCCAATCTCATTCAAGATAGTAAAGCATTTAACAAATAGTAAATGAAGTAATAAAGAAATGAGAAAAACCTGTTAGTTGATTGTTCAGTGAATTTTTTTAAACTTCCCAGTGTGGAATAAAGATTAAAAATTTAAACTACGATCGAAACAAAAGATAAATAGAATTGAAATGTGTAAGAAGGAAGGGAAATATCACAAAGAAGCAAGTTGCAATGCTCTTTGAATTACATAACTAGTTGAAGTAATCAGACACCATTTTGCTTTAGGATTTCAAGTTTTCGCAAAAATAACATTTTGTGAACGGCGAATTCGTCATTTAAATTCTATAATTATCTGAAATCATTTTCTTGCAAATCTGTATACTTCTTTGATATTACTGATCAATACCATTACATATAAAACTGTAGTTTATTGAATACTATACTTTCGAAATTATATTTTCAAGATCTATATTCAGTGCAAATACATGATTTCAAAAACAAAGAATAATAATATATTGTATCTTTGAAAAGAGACTATTTAATTAGGTATCAAATAAGTGTAGAATGCATGAATCTGTCGTTCAAGAATATTCATTATTACGAACAGATGTTGGTTCTCGCTCTCTATGCCATTAGCGGTTATAAGTAACTGTAGATAGTATTGTTAAATTTTATTTTTGAAACGATACATTGAAAAACTATGGCTGAGAAATAGCAACACCATTTGGTAAAAAAGGATAGTTGGGCAGCTGATTATCATACTGGAGCTGATTAAGCTTGCCAATGTTGCAAATACCGCATCATTTTTTGCGATAGCCGGCGGTTTTTTGTGCATACCTATCACATATAAAAGTAAAAAAATGGACGTTCAAAATAGTTTAATTGATGACTTGGAACACTTTTTTTGTCCAAGATTATAGACGAATCGGTTAACCGCCGATTTTCATGCGGTTTTTATTACATGAGTGTTCAACTGGCACAAAAGTAGTTGCAACAAGAGCAGGCGTTGTTAAATCTGGCAACTGGGATGCTGCATACGGTACACATATTATAATTGAATCAAAAGATGCGACTGGCAAAGTAGAGTTCGTCATTTATATGCGCATTTAAATCAAAAAATGGTAAACGTCGGTGCTAGTGTTTTAGTTGGACAACAAATATCTAAAAGCAGAAATACTGGTTGTTACATAATGGATATGATAGATTATTATGTATGACGAATACAAGTGAATGTGTCTCCTATAATCTAATTGGAATAGGACATCTGCCCGGATAGCAGAAGATGTGTGGTTCGAATCCCGCTAGGAGAACATATTTTTCGTTCTGCCACTGTAGCATCTTGTCCTCTTTTATCGTTGATGTAACTCTGGTTGATCAACAGGTCCTCATCTTCACTATGAAGAACGAGGTTCACGATTTGCTTATGCCAATCATGGAAATCCACAATTCAGCAAATCAAATATTGTCAATATACACAACTGTAAATTACGAGCTCATTTCTTTATTTTACAATTACAAAATATTACAGAATTATTTATTCTAGTTATATTCGATATCTCTGCACGATCTACTGCTGTTTCAATTGTATTGTATGGGAATAATCTACGTAAGGTAGTCCAAAATAAAATCTGATATGCAAATGATCTTCAGGTTTAAATGATTCCGTCGAAGAATCAGCATGTTTGATTTTATGTAAGTTATATTTAATCGATAAAAGACGCATTGCTTCAGTGCATACGAGTCCTACATGAGAATCAATAGCACAAAATACATGCCACCAAGCATGTAACTGTGGATTAAATCCGCCTGTAGTATTCATTCGTTCACATAGTTCCTGATCAAGAATCCAACTAGTTAAAGCTGGAATTAGTAAAGTAACATATATGATAATTAAACACATGATATATCGCGTACGATGTTGTGTTTGTCGATATATAAAAATCGATTTAAGAATGGCTCCAAACACCATCAATCCAAAATGTACTTGAAATATGACAATGAATGTTTTTAAACTATGCATATAAGTCCATAGAATTCCATAGAATATTGCGAATACAATTCCTAAATCCAGTCGATACATTTTATTTCTTATTTTATTAAATTTATCCATTCGAAAGAGAATAAACCACCAGATAATCATTGAGTATACCATCGAAAGTTCATCGGCCATTTGACCTAAATATGTGAGCGTACCATGAAAAAATGCTGAGCCAAGTCCAACAAACATATACGATAGACAAAGCAATAGAAATCGATTTTCAATTCGATAATATAGAGCTTGAAAAAATAATATTCCAGATAATAAACAGAAAACTAAACTTGATAGACAATTCCAGAATTCAGCAATATACTGTGTTACAACATAATTTCGTTCGCACCAATCGATTGAACTTGTACTTGGCGACCAATAACCTGTAGTTCTATCGAGTTCAGATTCAAAGTGTTTCACATCAGGTCGATGAGTATATTCGCTTAATACTGTTCGCGCTTCAATAACAATCGTCCGAAACACTATATTCGCTAATATTTGGATAATTAATATAGATAATAACATTCCAAAAGAAAATATAATCTTTGAAAGATTATGTCAAACGTTCTTGAAATAGTTCATCGGTTCCTAATGATCTAGTTTAGTAGATATAAAAGATTATCAAATATATGAATTACATAGTTACGCAAAAAATGAACGTTGAGTTTATTTTTGACCTCAACGGAAAACAAAACAAAAAAGACACTTCTATGATTTGAATATGTTATCAAGAAGATAGAATTGAAGATAATTGGTTTATTGTTTGATATTTCCACGAGAACACAACACAACAACTAAACATACGCCCTGATATGTTTTTCACTCAAAATTTGCTTTTATGATGTGTCCCTGTAAAAATATGTTTTGACACCCTTTTTTGTCGATGTGCGTAACAATTAAACGTACAGAAAAAAGTATTCTCTTTCTCTTATTTGTCATAGTCTGCCAGAGAAAATGGATTGAATTCAGGCGTAGTAATCAATTTGCAATGAACATTGTGTAAGAGCAGGGTGTAAAAAACAAGCATCATTGGTTTTTGTCAGGCTGTAGGACTTTAAACTGATCGTGCGATTTATTGGTTAAGAACAAACAATTAGGACCATCGTATCGCTAGCATGCTGAAATACATGATTGGCTACTGTAAAGCACACACTTTGAACTCTTGCGTTCTTTCATTTTTCAAAAGTTTGATTCATACAATTGAGACTATTCAAATGAAATTTTATTCGAGCAATAGATAATTTGTAATGTAACTATTACCATTGAATACAATTAACATAGAAACAATATAAGTTCAAAAAAACTTTTTTTTTCTTTTCTGCTGATTTGAAATGTATTTCAATCTTTAAGCTCATTCTATACAATATTAAGAAAATCTTTTTTTTGTTTGTTTCGATTTATCTGCCGTACTTATGATTTGATTGTCTAGTAAGAATCGATATTTGGTTACTATTGATCAGTATGATGATGCGATCATGTCAGTCTGAAAAATAAATTTTGTTTCGTCGTAGAATAGTAGTGAATTAAATTTGTTGTTATAGCTATTTTCATTTTGGTAAGCGATTAGCAAATACAAACAACTAGAATGATTCAAAATAATATAGAATTGTGTAAGTAGTTGCATCGAGACTTGGACACTGCGGATAACACGACGAATTTCATCGTAGAATTCTCGCCCGTTTACAAAACTGAATTTATATAATTTATTTTTAAATAAAACAGAGGATTTTGCCGCGTCGTCCAACATTAGCTTATGCAGAGAACAATAGAATTTTTCAAAAAATGATGACGGTACTAAAACAAAAGTTTCAGTGTTTATGGTCTTTCAAAGATAATTTCACTACTCACTAACGAAATTTTAATCTATCGCTTTTTATTGATCCATCTGTTACGAACGAGATCATTTAGTAGTGGATACAGTATTGATTTCGCCAATATATATATACCAAACAAAGTTACGTTAAGCAAAGAATCCATGGCTCATTCTCCTTTGATAATAGAAAAGCTACATTTATATTTAATCTATATTCATATTCTAACGAAAACTACTCAAATTGTACATAATAATAAGTGTTGAAATATGCAAAAAGAATTGAACAATTGATAGGATTTTAAATTGTAATGTACTCTGCTGATACTTTTTCTTTAATAGTTCCTATCAATCAATTTATGATATTCGTATTGTTTGCATTTGAATCCGCATTTCGATTTTGACCTATATTTTGCTGTTCATAGATGAATTAGCTAAACTAAATCAATACACATCCACTCCTAGTGGCTAAGAGAATAGTTACAAGATGATTTTCAAGTGAATACCATAAAGATAACTGATACAGAGAAAAAGAAAAACGAAACAGCATAAATGTTGACCTGATAACGTACTCAGAATTATAAAACACAATATAGTGTTCGCTTTTTTGGTCAACAAATGATGAGTGATGAAAAAATACAAATATTTATTCTATAATTTTTCTATTAGATCTAATCATCGATAAGCCATTCACCGCACTATTATGTTACTCCGATCGTACACAATTACCTGCATTCGTAATTTCAATGGAGAGAAAATCAAATTCGATTCAATAAATAGTTTTATCAGTAAAAATCTTATCATAATATATTTAATGATACCGTAAATGTCAACTTTTTCTTCGTCTCCCTATCGACACGTGGATAGAACAGATGTCTGAATATCATCCAACGTCGGCGATGAAATCGATCTTCATGTGTGTACAAAATATTTCTTTTTTCATATGCGTATATGTATATATGTAACAAAAAATAGTTAAGGATACTCGATTCGCGTCTTTTTCTTCTTCTTTTAGAAACAAAAAAAGGCTGAAGTAGGTGGGATCACATATAGGGACGTAAAAAACCCTACAGCTGAGATTATATCGTATATATATCTTTGTATATACATGTATGCAGCTATAAAGGAATGATTGTGTTTTTTCACGCAAATACATTTTTAATGTATGCATACATCACTCATAAACTTTCATCGAATGAAATGTTGTATGCTTCTCTTTTTGTCTTCAATCTGAATAGTAATCGTTGAACTTTTTATTTATGCTTCTCTATCCCATATTAATCTAATTTATGACTTTTTCTTTTAGTATATTCATGCTAGATTCGACACTTCCGTTAAACGCCTAGAATTAATAGTGTGATCAATGCAGAAAAACTATCGTTTTATATTAAATAGAATATTGATAATCATAAAGTAAGTTCGATACACTTCGTTCGTATTTTTTTCGTCCAAACTTTAACAATCACACATGTGACTATTTTGCTACGTTTGCTTCATTTTTTCTTCACACAACGTCAGACAACCCACGGTAAAAAAATTTAATGTTTATGAAAACAAAAGGAGAGAAAAAACCCTGAATTAAATCGTTCTATTGTACAATAAAATAAATAGACTTGGTAAACGTTGAATTGAAACAGAAAAAAAGATAAATGTTATGGCGAAAACTTTCGTGACGAAGGTCGTTGTCATTTGATATTCAATCTCGGCTACATCGATAGTTGTTCATTAACAATCTACTCAGTATAGTTAAATGCCAAAAACTAAACCTTTTCTTTATTTTATATCTTCCTATCAGAGATTTTAAAACGTGTAATACAATCATTAGAAACTGTTGACTAGACAACAGGTACAGTAATCTATTGTACTAATACTTTATATCCGTATTAAACTTGGAGGACGTCCTTTATTAATCCATTCACAAATATTGTATATAAACATATCGAAAGTTGAGTAGTTGAGGAAAAGAAGAGAAAAAAAATTAAACTTCAATTTTATAAATTAATTCTCTATTAGAAAAACATGAATCAATATGATAAAAAACGCAAATTAATGCAACAACAAAACGACGATGATGAACAAATTGAAAAAACATTAAAATATTTTGACGAAATTCTCGACGAATATTTATGCGACGAAGATATAACAGACGAAAATACAAATCACAAGTCACATTCACAAACGAGATTTACAAATGTTACTCCTGTTCAATATGTGAAACAAAGTTTTCAGGTAAGTTTAAATTTAAAAAGAAAATTATCTGGATGGTTTATTTTAAATACAAATAAATCATGCACTATTTCCCGAGACTGAATTTTCATCTTGTAAGCATACGATAGAGAGACACAAGTATCTGATAAATCAATCATAGGCATAGAGATTAAATCTAAAATTATTTCTAGAATACTCTTTTGATTTTATATCGTTATTTATTTTTCTACTTGAAAGAATTTATTTCTTTTAAATTCTTATTTTCTTTCAGTGAAAGAAAAGAAAGCAATTGTTAATACTTCAAAACACAAAAACTAGAAATGTATTTATAGGCATGCTTCTATATGCGTATATTGAAAACAAATGTTGATTGAAACGTCGAACTCTGTCAGAACCCGTAGCTCTATACGTGCTCGTTCAACCACATAAAAAGACGATCGGCGCAATCCCTGCAGCACTAAAAGGTGAAGCATAGTGCATCGCGACTATTGTATCGACGTTTGCCAATATCATTGGAGTTCAAAGTTTTACTCGTATATTTCAATATTCGTTTTGAGTAGAAAATAATTATTATCATAGAAACTTTTTATTTTCTTTGGAAATAGTAGAAATTTGTTTTACGCTTAACGAGCTCACTTTTTTCAGGTCAAAACAAGGGATATTGACGTTGACTACTTTTTGTACTAGTGTAATATTGTCCTTGAAAGAACAATGAAAGTCCTTCAATGATCAGGAAATAGAAGATTTTCGTAGTGATATTTCATTTTAGGCTATAAAATCGACTCCGAAGACTTCATCGTCGATATCAACCTTTCAAGATTCACGTTATGTTCAAGCTTCTCATCAATTTCATGACAATCGCCATCGTTCTGACCAAGTAGCATCAACTGATCAAGCCAATAATGTTCGTCGTCATACATCAGAAAATAACCTGAATCAAATAGCTTCATCGACAAAACCGGTGCCCACAGAGAAAGCGTTTCGTCCACAACTTCTTCAAACAGCAACAACATCAACAGAAGATTTGCTAACAATTTCATCATCGAGAAATTTTCAAGCTTACGATCGTTTTTCTGTTCTTATGGATAAAACCAATTATTTAGCAGTCAATAATACAAGTGCTAGCCTAATTGATTTAACTGCTATTGATAAATTATCTTCGAGGCCACGTTTTCGTTTTGTTCCTCCATCAAATCAAAATTTGAACTCGAAAGAAGAACATATAAAACAACAACAACAACAACAACAACAATCAAATCAAAATTTTGAACAATATCATTTGAAAACAATACCAATTGAACGATCGTCACTTCAGAATCAAAATAAATATTCACATAAAATCGTAAAACCAATCGTAGTAGTTCCGTCCATACAAAAATCCACACCAATAAATCATCTAGCTGAATCTAGTATTCATCATGAAAACGGAAAAAGTGCATTTAAACCACATCGATCAAGTAAAATTGATGTATCATCAAAAGTTCAATATCCATCACCATTATCAGCAAGTAAACGACGACCTGATCTACTACATCAATCAAATATGCATATTGGAATGACCAATCCAACGAATCAAATTGTTGATAGTAGAGTATCGATGCATCAAAAACAAAATGTACCACAATTTCATCAATCAATACCGAATCTTACTCAAAAAGGAACAGCAGAAGACGTCAATTCTAATATGTATGCATCTTATATATCCGATCAACCGAAAACATCGAATTTTGTAAAACCACCGCCGTATACACCACAATCACATAAATCCAATGAACATCATCCATACCAACTGCCAACGAGTTCACAAGATTCAATTTCCAAATGGATCCAACAAGTTAATAGTAGTAGTAGTATTAGTGGTCTTGTACATTCGTCACGTAATCAACCGTATCCTAACGGAGGGGATTATCGGGCTCACCAACAACAATCTTATCCTTATGGTTCACATCTTCCAGTGAATGCAAGTAAGAAGAAAATTATTGCATGCATCCCTACGGTAAACTTTTTTCTAATTATTTTATTTTTCAGCTACGTCACAACCAGTGAATACTTCCGATCGTCATCATCATCATCACCATCATCATCAACCAACTCATATGAATCCAATAAACATGCCTAAACATATTTCTGGACAACAGTCCGCTCCTGTTCCATCGGCTTATCCTCCTTCGTTGTCAACATCGAGAAATGGAATATTCTCTCTACAATCCTCAACTTCATCGTCACCATCTAATATATATCATTTCCATCAAAATAACGTTCCAAAAGAAGGTCAACCCAAACGTAATTCTCATCGTCAAAATGTTAATGTCACAAGTTATCTTTAAGGTTTTTTTTTGCATTATTGAACTCGTTGAAGTATACTTGGTGTATGAAACTTGTGAAGTTTATATTTTTTTTTGTATATATTTTTTAATTTCAATCAAAAGAACAAATAAAATACATTGTGTATACACAATGAAATTAACTTCATTACGAGCAAATATTCGGAACTCGAGCTACAAATCTAAAATTGGTTTTAGTAGAAGCCCATAGATAGTAAATCTGGAGAGTAATCCTTTTGGAAAATGTCTGTCACTTATTAGTGCTGACTTACAAACGCAATCGAATCTAAAAAAAGAGAATTTTCGTACGTGCATTCAACTTCTCATAAAAAAACAATAGCGTATGAATGTTGATGTTCCGGGCAAAATATGATAGACTTTTTTTACCTCAACTATGGCCTTCATAAGTGTGCTTCATGAATTTTATTTAAGGAAAATATTGCGTGATTTTCTGAAGGCTTAATGATAATAATAAAGCTGGTTGAGTAATAGAAGAACTGACACATCACTTGCGCTATCCACATAATAGCACGTTACAATTTATTTTAGTTGACAATGATGATGTTTTTTTTCTTGTGTATGTTGACAACGAACATGCCAAATGACAATACATGTGCGTGTCTCATCGATATACACAAAAATCCTCACGTGAGGGTAAAAAGAAATAACTTAGAGTGCTGCCTATTATGGGTCTATCAACGAGAGCGAAGCATTTCATCCTACTGTTTTTTATTCTTCTCCGAGAGATAATCATTGTGCAAATCTATTTAACATCACAAGGCAAAATATCTTCTAGTTACTGAGAAAAACTTCATTATTTGTATGATTTGTATTCAGTAAAAAAACTCCGTCCCGAAATAAATTTGATCATTTTGCTTAGTACTCATATATATATATATATATATTAATACATTATCAAGGTTACAGGAAAAAGTGCAGCTGCTGTTAGTGCTATAACGATGAATGTCCAAAGTATTAGTTACTCTTTCGCACTGATTTGATGAAGAAGAGAAAGAATCAATGATAAACGCGCGCGACTAGCATCATTTTTTTTCTTCATCACAATTTTAGTAATGCGAAGAATTTTCTTTGTTCTAGTATAAAATGCAGACTGAAATATCAATTGCATTAAATTTCCTAATCGCTTTTCTCTACAATAAATTACCACGCCGGTACGTATTTTGAATAGAGAGGAGAAGAAGAGGAGAGAAAAAAATTGGTACTAATAAGTTTCAATGATTTTTTCTTTTCAGTCGAGTTAATATGCTCGGTGAACAAATGCACAAATATCTACGCGTTAAATTTCAAGATCATTGGTATCCCGAAAGACCGACACAAGGTTCTGGTTATCGATCAATACGAATTGGTAAAGACAAAATCGACAAAGTTCTGATTAATGCTGCTAATGATGTCAGCTTGGATTTACAAGAAATACTTGATAGTTTACCTAATGATCTTACTATTTGGATTGATCCAGGTGAAGTATCATATCGTATTGGAGAAAAAGGATCGAGTAAATATTTTTCTCTTATGCAAAAAACAAAAGCAAATACGTATTGAATTTTAGTTCAAGTTCTATATGGAAATCACAGACATTTATTACGATATGATGAATTATCAAGTGATACCGATGAAGTTTCTAATCAAGGTAATGTTGTTTTCTTTGGTCATATATTTCGAAATAAACAAAAAAAAGCAAAATTTTCAATAGAACCTATTGATTACAATGTGCAAATACGTGAATCACTCGATACTCTTCTGAAATTATCAGATTCAGATGCTTCTGCATGGTTAAATCCAGTAGCAACACCAGTTTTATCAATACAAACATTTGCACAAACACGTTTTGGTTCGTTAAAAGTTAAACACAACGTACCGAAACAGCAAGTCAAGTAAAATTTCTAACGCGCAGCCAATCCCTTACGTTTAAAAAGAAAATTAATATTTCCATCAGTATTGAGATACACACATAGTTCGTAGTCTAATCTTTTACTAATAGCAAAGTTGGGTTCTAAAGACGTGAATGGGTTTGACGCAAGATCTTGTTTTGAAAAATGAATGATTTTTTTTCTTTTTTTAGAATTTTATCCAATGAATTTTCTGCTTGTATAAAATCAAAACAACAGAGAAGAGTATTTTAACGCATTCCGCTATACTATAAAGAATAATTGTTTTTTATTATTATTAATACGTCAAATAAAGGAAAAGGAGAATTTACAAAAAAAAAATAATTTTTAATCATTCGGTTCAACATTACGATATAAATAACTCATTGATTCTTGATTGTGTATACGGCGAATCGCTTCGGATACAAGTAAACTTATATCAACGGTTTTGATTTTTGAACATTGAAGTTTAGCAAACTCATGCGGCACTGTATTTGTTACGATAACTTCAGATATTCGAGATTGTTCGATTAGCAATGGAGCATCACGTGTAAATAGAGCATGTGTTGCAAGTGCATAGATTTTATATGCACCACGATCGAAAAGTATGTCGGCAGCTTGCACAAGACCAGGCACATCATCGATCATATCTTCAACAATGATCGCAATGCGACCACCAACATCGCCGACAACATCCATGGGCAACTTCCCTTTGACATGCACTTCTAGAATATAGAAACGAGTCAGATAAGTCTATTCCATTCAAAAGAAAAACATTACTCATACTTACGTTCGCCTAATGCAAGTGAAGGAATAGTAAATACGCTTCGTCGTTCGGACAGAGGTATAGAAGTATCTAAACTAGGCATCGGCGGTGGTGGTGAATTTCTTCCGTCTGCTTCTTCACTTTCACTTTCTCGATCCTGAAAACCATGGATAACAGCAATGTTTAATTTTAATCGTTGAGCAAAACCTGTTGCACGTTTTGCTTGATTAGGCTTACGTGCAATTATAACAGAATTACGCCAATCGGGTATCTACAGAGTTGGAATGAAAAAATTCTTCTGTAGTAATAGAAAAGGCTCTTTTTTTACTTGTTCTTTGATATAATCAACGAGAAAAGAGGATGCTCGTAAATTGTCAACCGGAATATCGAAAAATCCTTGAATTTCTTTTTGATGTAAATCAACAGTTATTAAATGTGTTAACCCAGCTTTAACAAGCATTTGAGCGACAAGTTTCATTGTAATACAGCCACGTTTTTTCTGTTTACTTTGTTTACTATCTAGATTGAAAAAGTTGATTTTTATACTATTATGTTTCTATTGACTTACAAGGTAAATAAGGCAAAACTCCCTGCAATAGATAATTAATTGGTGAGGCATCTATAAAAACTTCAAAAAAAAAAATAAACAAACTTACAACAATATTTTTTGCGCATGATGTTTTACATGCATAGCTCATGATCATCAGTTCCATAAGATCATCATTTGGATCTCTGATTGAAAAAGAATCAATAGATAAACATTTTCATAATATTGATTTTACTTTGTCGAGCCTGTTTGAATAATAAATACATCTTTACTACGAACTGATTCATAGATTTCGACACGCGTTTCTGTTGAACAAAAAATAAAATAAAAATATATCATCGTATAGTTTTGATCAACCAACCTTTATCGGAACTTTTAATAACAAGGCATTCGCCAAGTGGTTTAATACGACTAAAATTAAAAGCAACAGTCAGATTTCATCCTACAATTAGTTTAGAAGAAAATACAAAACGCAAGCAAATATAAAAATAGAGAAGTTGAAAGGACAAAAGTACGTACTGAGAACTGTCTGATTTGTAAGAATGAACAATTCTATAATGAGAAGAAAAAATTCAGCATGCACCACACATCCGCATGTTTATCATTTTTTTTTCTATAAAATAAAATTTGTTAAGTTAAAATTGAATTTAGTTTTGTAATGAATCAAACTTTATTTAGTTCAAGGTTAATATCACAAAATAAATTTTATATCATAGAAAATAGCATACCTTGAAATATTCTCTGCCAATTCAGGATATGAATTACCGGTGAGAATCACTAGAAAATTAAAGAAAACTTCTATGAGAAACATACTCGAACCATTGCTTTCCCCGTCAGATTATCTTCAATTTCTAATGACGCATCTTTTGTCATTACATTGATAGCAATAAGAGAGCAAGAAACACATCTAACTGTAGGGTAGTGGCGATTCCAGACAGATCGCAATATTTCCCCGTAAGATGTCTATCTATTCTCCTAGTAAAAAAGCTTGATGAGCAGCAAGTGAAAAAAAGCGATCGATAGTTTTCAGACAAATGAAAATGTATTCTCCTTAAATATTATATTGAAACAAAACCCTAATCCCGATTATAATAAGCAAAGTAATCCTAACAGCAAATTCTAATCAAAGCGTAAGCTCTTTTCATTCGTTGATATTATACCATCATAGATTCGCTTTCCAATACTATACAATAATTTCAAAATAGAATGAAAATTAATATTGATCTTTACACATAACAAGATGTTTGTTTAGCCTACCCATTTCCGCGCGACTGCTCCAATCGGCAGACATATCTGAAATCATTAAAAAAAACAAGTCAAATCAATAAATTATATAGTACAAATGTTCAAGAATGCTCGAAATGACAGGTTCGTATCTGGTATAAAAAAAGAAAAACATAACGAAAAATAGTTGACCTAGATTACAATTAAAAAAAATCACATAGAGATTATGTTCCTCGGAATTCTTCTTTTAACATCCAAAAACCAATTCCAGATGGTGATCGTTCAAGACTAGCAATTTGTTTTAATAGTGACTTAAATTTTGGTACGAGACCAGGTTTTCCATCCAGACGACTTTGAAAGTGATCAATGATTTCCGCTGTTGTTGCTTTACCACGAATAGATGTACCGACTTTTAGATAATCTTTTAGTTCACGAATTAATTTTAAACCTTCACCATTCGATGTATCTTCGTCATCAGCATCATTTTCTATTGGTCCACCGTTTGTTTGGACGACAAAACCCGATTGTTCACGTTTTCGTTCTCGAATATCTTTAAGTAAACCATTCGATGCACTCGAAGGTCGAGCATTTAATTTTCGAACGATCGACGAAGAAGATGAAGGTTCTTCTTCATCTTGTTTAATAACATCTTTAGTTGTACGAGAACCAAATCGACGTATACTGAAAGAAATTATTTATTTTTTTGTTATTATATTTATTTGTTCATTCAAACTTACTGTGGCACATTTCTTCCTCCCCAATTGGGTATTCCACTTTCGGCTGAATAACATTCTTGAGCCGATTTTTTCAGTGCTTTGACAGCTTCTTCTGCATAACGATGAGCCTCGGCTTCAATAAATACATTATCGTTGATAGAATGATCAACAATAGTATCATGCTGAAGGGCACTATGAACAACAGATTTTTTAAACAATTTACTTAATACATAATCATCTTTTTCTTTATCAATATCATTTTGTACGTCTTGTTGATTCGTTGTTATTTTACTATCAATTTTTGATAAATTTGGTACACGTTCGCCTTCGAATTCTAGTTTGAAGAAGAAAAAAGAATTATATTTCAAATGCAAAATTCCGAACAAAACTACGGTTAGAGTCTAGAGAATCATTAGTTGCCTAAGATAATTAAAATATGAGTTCTAAAATTAATATCTTACTGGCATTTCGCTTTCGTTTTCTTCTATTATAATTTTCTTTTAAATTGATTTCTGAATTTGTTCCAGCCAATAGAATCGATGTTTCCGTACGTTCGTCGTCACTATCATGTTCATCATCATAACGAAATAATTCATGGAGATCGTTTGATTTAAAGAAACGTCGTTGTTTTGGATCTTGAAGAACACGATTTGTTAAAAATTGCTTAAAAATTTGTCTATGATAGATTTTTTCTTCAATTGTACCAGATGTTAATAGTCGATAGATTGTTACATTTTTTGTTTGACCTATACGCCAAGCTCGTTCTCGGGCTTGCATATCTGTTGATGGATTCCAATCAGGATCAAAGATTAAAACACGATTTGCACCGGTTAAATTTATTCCAAGGCCACCAACGCGAGTTGTTAGAAGAAATACAAATATCGATGAATCCTATTGAATAGCAGAAAAAAAATCAAGATAACTCTAAAGGCATAGTTTTAATGATCAACAACTCAATCTCCGTAAACAACCACGAGTTGTTGAATCATTTCGATGAAAAAGTGTAAAAATTTTCTTCGAAACCTACGGTATTAAATTTTGAAACAAGCCCTTGTCTCGATGCAATTGATGTTGTTCCATCCATTGTTAGATATGAATAATTATGTTTCATTAAAAATCCTTCGAGAATATTAAGCATTTGTTTACTTTGTGTAAACAGAAGACAACGATTATTTTGTTTGTGCCAAATTTTTAATAATGTTTCCAGTACAACCATTTTTCCTGAACGTTTCGGATAGCCAAACTGTCTAATTTCATCGACATCTTCACCATATTCAGGACGATAATCTGACCAATCAGTATATAAATCAGGATGATTACAAATTTTGCGTAGATTAATTAAACCAACAAAGATTTGTGTGCCTCCTTTCAGAATATCTTTACATTGTTGTGATTTTAAATATTCTTTATAAATATGTCGTTGCGTCTTAGTCAAACGACAGAAAAGTACTTGTTCATTTTTTGTTGGTAATTTTAAAACAACATTTTGTTCGGATTTTATTCGACGAATAAGATATTTTTTTATTGTATCACGTAATATACATGCACATTTATAGGCTGTGTGTACTTCAATGGGATTCGCATTGGCATAACCACCACGTGTTATAGGTATAGCAAAATATTCCATAAATGTTGGTAGTGTACCTAGTTTTCCGGGGAAAACAAAATCAAATAATGACCATAATTCACGTAAATTATTTTGCATTGGCGAACCCGATAAAATTAGACGATGAGGTGTTCGAAACTAAAATTGAATAATCATAGATTTTTTGTTTTCGAAGAAAAATATTCTTACCGATTTACATGCGGTAGTTATTTGAGCATCGGGATTACGTATTTTATGGCCTTCGTCTAAGATAAAATAATGCCACGTATAAGATAATAAAGTATTATAATGAATAAGAATATTTGCGTATGATGTAACTAGAATACCAGCAGCTGTTGTACCCATCTTATGAATTAGCCGGTCCTACAACAAAAAGAAAAGAATTTTACATATGTGGGGTGTTGTGTTCTACAATGTTTGACATTTAAAATTCTTACGCCTTTCTTTCCTTGAAATGAACCACTTTCATGTAAAACAGCCACACGAAATTCAGGCCACCATTGGTGAAATTCATGAACCCATTGATGAAGTAATGTAGATGGACATACAATTAATACTGGTCCAAGACCACGATGACTACAAACAATAAATAGAATTTTGTTTTTCTTCGACGAAAAATAGAAATCTATTACGAATTTTGAGGATCACGAACTCGACTATAATGAAATGCAGCTAGATAAGCAATGATTTGAATAGTCTAAAAATATGATTTTAATATAAAACATAATCCTCCTTTCTAAATCTTTACTTTTCCCAGGCCCATTTCATCGGCGATGATTCCACCACATTTTTGATCATGCAATTCCCACAACCATTTGACACCAGCTCGTTGATAACTTAAAATTTAGAAAAATATCAATACAAAATAAAAAATATTTTTTTGAAAAATATTCACTTGAATAATCTATTCCAAATACTTGATGGTATCCAAAAACCTTTACCAATTTCGACATCATCATTTTCCCCATTAATTGTGTGACTCGGAGGTTTTTTATCAGCATAGAAATCTTGTAAACGTGTCAAATATTGTCGATCATCACCATCATCCTTTGCTAATGTTCGTGTTTTCTTTTTTTTCGGTTCATATAAATCTTCATCGTGATCAACTAAACGTTGTTTTTCATCTTCATCACTTTCGAACCTATAGGAGAAAAGAAAACATCAAACTTACTCGATTTTCCCCTGAATTCAATCAGATATGTTATCATCTCTGTCGACTTCTCACATATAAATCAAGTTGAATTTAGGTCTTTCTTGTGACACAAGAAGTATGGATAGTTGTTTTCGCGCCGAGACTTTCTCTCTTTCGGAATGTGAATAACAACTATATTTTAATTCCATAGAAATTTGCTAATCGGAGAAACTACGATTCAATGTCACAATAAGTGCCGCGCTCACAGCTCTCTATAAATATCAAACCTTACCAAGCATTATCTTCGTCATAAACCATGTTACTTGGCTCAGTTTCCTCATCGGATGACGAAGAACTTATGACTGTTTGTTTTTTTGTTTGCGTTTTTTTCTGCTTAATCGGTGAAGATTTTTTCTTGGGCTTTTTATCGCGATATTGAATGGGACCATCAAGTGTTAGAGGTGTTGATGGTTCAACAGTAGTTTTCTTTGTTTCAGCAGGTTTCTTTTTAACGGTTTTATTCTTTGATTGTTTTCGTACATCATATTCATCATCAAGACTTTGCATAAATGAATCGAACGATGTTAGAGGTTCATCTTGATCTGTTGTTGATTTGAGAAGACCATTCTCATCATAATTGCGTAGCGTAGGCATTAATGTATCGAGAAGATTCGTTGAAGTCGTTGATCCTTAATTCGAAATGAATTTCTCTCGATTGAATAGACAAATTTCAGTATTATTTTTACTTGTAGTAAGATTATCTGAAGTTTCTTCATCGATAGGTGAAAGACCTATAAGTTCAGTTTTAAGCGAATTGAGTTTCGAAGTATTCTTTGCTAATTGTTGTTTCTAAAAATCGATAAATGAATTTTGATGGTGAATTCTTTTTTTAGAACGAACTAATTCTTTGATGTTTTTTTCAATATTTGCTTTTTGAACATCTTTTCTTGATGCAAGATAGGTTGCTTGATCGATCGTAGATAATATTTGTTGTTTTGCAGATATATTTCGTCGAAGAGAACTATTTTGAACGAATATATTAATTGAAGACAAAATGAAATAATCTACCTGTTGATTTGTTCAAGTGATTGAATTTGTTTTTCAATATGAATTGATTTATGTTGTCGTTCTTGATGCGATACAACATTATCCACTTGATCAATGAGACCCTGCTCAAGATCTGACTGGTTGAAAACGCTTAAACCAAGCTGATTAATTTCATCGTTTTCATCGATTAATGTTGCTGTTTGAATTTTATTCCGATCTAATTTAAATTTCTCGAGAATCTCCTCATCATCAACCGTAGTTGATGAATTTGAATCGGTATTTTCTTCATTCATGATATTCTAAAGCAAGATGTTTTTTTTTCGATGTAGAAGTCACACCTTTCGGAAGTACTTCTGAAACTGAATGAACTACGAGAGACGTTTGAGTAATGGTGAAAGAAAGAAATACATTTTCCATTTAGTTTACTATTTGACACTCGATGTAGCCAATAACCTTAGGTGTCACTAGTTGTTGATATTTGCAGATCGGGATACTTGAAAAATTGTTGTAATTTACTAATTGTAAATGAATGTTGAACAATTCAAAATTGCTGGGTATTTAAACAAAACGTAAAGAGTTTTTCGTTTGTTCTCCGTCTGATGTGACTCTTTAAAATGTTAAGTTTGACAAAGAACGATATGAATTAAATCAAATGCTCGAATATATTTTTGGCAATCGTAATTGACCGAAAACAGAGATCCATGAAGATCTTTTAGTTGTTAATATTATTGGAAATAAAATTTGGTGCTCTGCAAGAATATATTGAAGTATATTTTCTAATTGTATTTCACAATTTTTAGCGAATTCTCGAAGTAGCTCAGATGCAGTGCTATCACTTGCTTACAAGATCAGTTATTTCTAATGGAAAAGTGATTGATCGTAGTACATTGGCATTTATTGTTCTAATTACAGTATATTCATTGTCTTACTCAACACAGTAGAAACTATATTCGTTGTTCGATGTTGCATCCCGTTTTTACATCAGTGTTGGTTTCAAACGAAGTTTTCCTTATCTTTTTAACATTTCTTGAAGATAACGAGTTGGAAAAAATTTATTCAGTTTCTTTAAATTTGATTTGACTAAGACATGTTCAGTAATGTAGGAACCCAAATGAACTGCACCATTTGCTGTTGTCAAGCCAATACCATAAATAGTTAATACAACGGATAAGCTTTCCGATGGTGTGCCAAATACGAATCCTGCCACCCCGATGAATATCCCAACTGGGAATAATAGTTGAGAGAAAAAAATCTTTCAATTTCTTGTCATTGTTTATTTTTTTTTGACCTCATCGTTAACAAATAAAAATACTTTCTTTTCCAGTCGTCTATCTTTTCTTCGAAAATTTCATTAGGACAAAAAATGATTCATTTATTCCAAGAGGTTAAAATGAAAAATATAAAGTTTTGATAGTATTCGAACTCATGTCTTCCTGTTCGATATAACAGAAAGTAAGTCAGTATGAGGGTATAAGAGAGGAAAATTTGTCCAGTTCCCCCATCACTTATTCATATTCTTTTGTCCAAAGATTTCCCATTGTTGTCGAACTTCAGAAAATAAAAGTGCTCGAGGATGAACATCAACTATTATAAAGCCCTTTTGTTAAGATTATTTCATTCCGATCAAGTAGAATATTTGAGCTTTAACAATAAATTTGAATATATCATGAATAATTATGATTTTCTAAAATCATTTCCAGTTGATTCGAAGGTAATCTTCGAAGTTCCACATGAAAATCAAGATATTGGTTCTTCGAAATTGAGGATTGAATTTATCTTTCAAAAATATCCACATATTCGTAACGATATTAAAAATTATTGCCCATGGCTTGACTGGTTTAGTCCCAAAATCAGTAATACGTTCCATTTTTTATAAATTATCTGAAAAACGCAGGTGCAACAATTTTTACATCACACAGTATCGAAACCATACGAATTCCGTTGAACAAGAAAAGAAAATTTTACCTTCACCATCACGATCGGCAAGCTACTTATTTTCATATGAAGATAAATTCTCTATGTTACTATGTTTTTCTTTTATCTTGGTCTGTCTTTTCTTCGGTTTCGGAATATTTCGCTTAATTTTGCATTTTTTCATCGGACTTATTTGTATTGCGTTTATTTTGATATACTTTCACAGATTTACTTGCTTGAAATACAATGCTATTTTGGAGTATTTTATTGATACAAGAGATCTAGGCATCGAAAAAGAATATTTTGTCTCCTGCAAACATTGAAAGCAGACGAAAGTGTATCGGTTAAAAAATTTATTTGAAGCTATTTTTCTAGATATCAAAACTAAAGACAAACTGCTCGCTAGTCATGATGTCGTCGATCAACAAGGCAATGCCATGCAAAAAAGTCTTCTTGGAGATTAGTAGTTAGTGCAAAATTTTACTTTTAAGTAGAAAGAAACAAGCACGTCTTCAAATTATTTTCATGTACAATGAATGCAATAGTTGATTCCATGTTGATAATAACAGCCTGGCTATTTTGGCTCGTAGAATATTTTCGATGTAATTTAAATAATGAATTAAATTTGTATACATTTATATGTCTGATCGAATGGAACTTGACATGAATGACAACTACTTTTATATATCCTCATAAAACTGACAACATGTAATTGTACATCTAAATGATTATGATAGTCACCCAATATGGTATAGCTGTGCGTCTTCATAGTATAAACAATCTTACCAGATGTTTTTTGTCATTTAAAATGTTATTGATATCTGCTCAGTACAAGTGTACTTGAATGATAGACATACTATAATCGTACAACAAAACTGCATATGAACTGCGTCAATATGTATTCTAATTTACTGCCATCTATCCACGCTCACATAATTGGCCAATTTGCTCAATCATAAATCGCTCATAGATAAGTATGCGAGTATAAAAGAAATAATAACATGAACATATTTTTACCTGCTAGTTTATCATTCAATGATCGATACAGAATGGCGAAAAAAAAGTACTTAACCTTTCATATTTAATTGACAATGAAAGAAAATTTTATTGAGCAGCAAATAGTAACAATGAATAATATATCCGAAATATTAACAGGTTAGACATATTCATAGAGAATTATGCTCAATTTCATCGTTTTTATATAGATAATGAAGATAAATCTCCAATGATTGCTCAATTAGATAGTCTACAAAGATTAAAAGAAGTATATTAATTCTTTTTTTAAATTCTAGAAATTTATTCATTCGTTTCAATTTATAGGTTGGTTGGTATTGGGGTCCATTAAGTTGGATTGATGCTGAACGATTGCTTAAAGATAAACAAGATTATTCATTCATTGTTCGAGACAGTAATCATCGACATTATTTTCTGGCGGTTACATTTAAATCGCAAGGCAATATTCATCATACTCGTATTGAACATAGTAACAGTTGAGTTTCAATTGATTATTTTTGTTTTTCCCCGAATCGAACAAATCGAATGTATGTATTTTTAGATTCATTTGGTTTTTATCGCAGTACTACAAAATCACAGTGTACATCATCGGATGTAGTAGAATTTATTGAAAATATTATTCAGCATTCACAATCGGGTCAATTTATGTTTTTTATTCGATCGAATGTACCTGGTATGCAATCGAAAAATAGGATGCTAACACTTTATTGAGGATAGTTAGATACTAGGACGTGTAATTTCGTTTCTATGACTCATAGGTCTTGATGTTGTATCTTTGATAACTGTCGAATCATTACTCTCAACTATTTCTACTTTGGATTTCTCATTAAAATAATCAGATTTTTTTAAATAATATTTCATTGAAATTTTTTTTGTCTTCTTCAGGACAACCAATGACACCTGTCCGTCTACTTTATCCTGTATCCCGACGTGCTTACATGACATCCTTAAAACATATAACCCGGTTTGTTATTCATCGACAAATAAGCCGTGATCGTATTGATGATCTTGATCTGCCATTACGGCTACAAACATTTCTGAAAGAACCACAAATCTATACCGAAAATATCCCATCATTAGATTGTTAGAATTGATAATTGTGTGGTGCCTTAAACTATTTTTTTCTCTTCTGTTGATTAAGTATATATCTATATGCAATAATAATAATAAATATGATTGTAAAGCATTTTCAAATTTGTTATTTTCTTCATGACATGATTATTATTCATACGGTTTTTAGAGAAAAATAATTTCATAATCACTAGAAATTACTATTCGATGACAGCATCAATACTATTTACTCCCGGTAAATTGAGTTTTTTTGCTGTTGTGACAACGAACAATATTTAACAAGTGTCACGAGGGCTTCTCTTCTTACCTGATAGAATGAAAAAAAAAAACACTACTAGTCGTTACTTGTCTACGTGAAAGCAAAATATGGCAGTCACGTTTGTAACAGGCAACAAGAATAAATTAGCTGAAGTTCAAGCAATATTAGCTGATGTATTACCGAATTTGAAGTCAGAAAATCTCGACTGTAAGTATTTGATGAATATCAGTGGGCGTGAGAAAGAGAATTCGTGTTTTTTTGTTCTATTTTATTTCACAGTGCCTGAGTATCAAGGTGAACCTGATGAAATTTCTCGAGAAAAAGCTAAAACAGCTGCTCAAAAAGTCAATGGTCCTGTTTTAATCGAAGACACATCGCTTTGTTTTAATGCTTTACATGGTCTTCCGGGACCGTATATAAAATGGTTCTTGGATAAATTGGGGCATGATGGTTTGAATAAATTACTTGCTGGTTACGAAGATAAAACAGCCTATGCGCAATGTGTATTTGCGTTTTGTGCGGGACCCACAAGTGAACCGATTGTGTTCGATGGTCGATGTCCAGGAAGAATCGTGCCAGCACGTGGACCCAATTCATTTGGATGGGATCCAGTATTTCAACCCGACAATGAACAAGGACAACCAGGTGAAAAAACCTTTGCTGAAATGGATAAAACAGAAAAAAATCGTATAAGTCATCGTAGTCGATCACTTCAATTGGTTAAAGATCATTTCGTTCGGCATCCAGAATATCGTAAATAATGCTATGAGACTCTTACGTTAGTTTTAATTATATTGGTTTTTCTTCTTCATATTGTATTATGAGGTAAAAATGAAATAAAAGTATATTGAATCATCGTCAGAATAGGTAATGATGACGATGAGAACTAGAACAGATGTCTATCAAAGAATATTTTATTATTACGGAATATGAAAATTGATCTGATTTAAATAATCAATATGGAAAATGTAATTTTTTCATTTTTAATTTCTTTTGTTCAACATGATTTTTTATTTTCATCATGTATACCGTCATCTCGACAATGTGGTTGTCCGTATCAACAACCTTTTATATCTAAAACAAGAATTGTCGGAGGTTATACAGCTCGAGAACATTCTTGGCCGTGGGTCGGTAAGTCGTTTATTTTTCTGTGAATAAATTTTATATTGCCATGACAATAGTCAGTATACGTCACGCTGACAAGAATAAACCAATAACAGATCCTGGTGACGCGTTCTGTTGTGGAACACTAATCAATGAAGAATATGTTCTAACAGCTGCGCATTGTTTCGATGGTAGAGTTCGTTCATTATTAAATTATTTTGTTGTTATTGGCGCTCATCATATTAATGATACAAATCCAATTCGATATAATATTCAATCTATTGTATTACATGAAAAATATGATAATAATTTATTCTTAAATGATATTGCATTAGTGAAACTTTCATATAAAATTGATTTCAATGATTCAAATATTGGATTTATTTGTTTACCACCAAAGAATATAAAAACATATCCATATGAAAAAACGAATGGTTATGCAATTGGTTGGGGTAGTTTTGAAGAAAATGGTCCGTCATCGTATACACTTCAGCAAGTGCGATTACCAATTATTTCGAATAGAAATGAATTTTGTTCGAATCAAATACATGACGATCATGGACAATTATGTGCAGGACTTATTCAAGGTGGACAAGATACGTGTCAAGGAGATAGGTTAGAAAAATGAATATTTATAAAATCTCCAATCGACCTTTTTCTTTTTAGTGGAGGGCCATTAATGATTTTCGATATGGATGCTAGTACGTGGAATATCGCTGGAATAACTTCATATGGATATGGATGTGCTAAGCCTAAATTTCCAGGTGTTTATACGCGTGTTAGTGTGTTTGTTGATTGGATTAATAAAAAGATGGATTCATCGTGTCAATTATTGATGCCTCAAATATCGATTCAGGTTTTGTTATTTTTATTTTCTATGATTCTATGTTTGGAATAAAATTGTTTATTTTTGTGTACTCAAAAAGTGAGTACACTCTAGATTCGGTCAGTGTGTCCGGCCGTTAACACGATAACTCTTGAAAGTCTCATCCAATTGCCTTGAAATTTTGTACACAGAATGATCTCATCAATATCTCGATCGAATTCGAAGATGAGAAGGATCCGTCAAGAAATGGCTGAGTTATCGAAAAAATTGTCATTTTTGACCAGACCATCCATGACGGGGGGGGGGGGGGGGAACGGGAATTTTTAAAAAAAAATTTTTTTCTCAGAATTATTCAAAACATATATAAATCGACTCAGTTTTTGCAGTACACATAACAATCGGATGCGAATCCGATGTTTCCTCATTCTTTGTTAAACTAGCTTTGAATTATCTTTAATGTTGACTACAACGCTTTTCACAATCAAAACCTCTCTTTTCGTGTACATCTACTCTGACATTCCAAGAGTATGGACGTGATTGTTCATGATGAGATCATCTACGGCCTAGACTGATATCAGCATGGAGTTTTCAAAAACAAAACTCAGATTTGTATTTATACGACAGTTTAGACAAACTTTCACAATATCTTTGAAACCTTATCACGCAATCAATATATTAGACCATCACCGATATTAGACACACTTCTGCCTGTAACCAGCTACAAAACAAATATATTCGGTTCAAATATTGAAAAAGATTGGAACAAGCGAACAAATTATTGTTTTACCGATCAGCTAAGCTTTCTGTTATCTATTTTAGAAATAAAATCGTTAGTTGGTCATTTATTTGCAATATTCACACATATTGTTGCTAATTCATTTCTGCTTGTTCAGCGAAAAGCAGAATAAAATTCATGGATCGTTCCGATTTTTCAAGCAATAGACTATGGTGATTATTCAGTAGGATTTAATAAACTTATCCGACAACCTACATACACCGACTAAGACAAGTAGTAAATACATTAGTTGTAGATAGCAACGTTACGTTCATTTCATGTTTTCTTTTATTTCTACGCGTGTTCTCTGAAACCAGATATCAGAACTAGTCTCATACGACGAAAAACAGTTTCGTGTTTCACTTTTGCCACCAAAGTCAAAAATCTCAATTGGTATGGTTTTTTCAGTTTAACGAGCATAAAATACCACTCAGTTCAAATCTAAGCTACCATTATTATCTCTTTAAAAACATTTATTGGAAACGCACTCAATCAAAAATGTCGCTTCGAATAAGGATAAACATTCGATTGTTAGTTTCTATTTGCCATCTACCCTTGCCGTCCCTTCATCTAATGGGCTCATACCGAATTAAATTTTATTTTCGAATATTGTTTTAGATCGTAAAACTAATTCAGTTTAATTTGCAATTCTTTTTTAAAGTTAAGAACAGAAACAACTCGTTTTCTAGTTCACAAAAAAACCTTCAGACATTAAGTTTTAATCGTTTGACATTCTAGATTGTTCATGCTTCGAAAACTTTAGGTACTTATATGAAGTATATTTGGCTTAAAAATAAATACATACTCATCCGTAACATACTAAAAAAAATTGTCAAATAAACTGAAGTATTGCGTTTGATGCTCCCAATTTGATTTGATTAAGATCAAAATTTCAACACTGATAAACAACTCTGTATGCAAAACATGAACCATTCAAACTATTATTAAATCTTATTAATCTGTTATAGGATTCCATCGGTGAGATATTTTGATATTAAAATTTTAATCGAATAAAGAGACTATGATTCAAGTGAAATTGAGATCTGACTGAGGACCCGTACTTTTTTCCTCGTTCTGTTCGATGATGCGCGTGAGTGAAAACGAAAAACGATTAGTCTCCTTTCTCTTGTCAGCTGCAATTTTTTACTTTTTTTGTACTCATAAACTCACCACGTTGGTTTGTTAGTAATAAATTGACGTTCGCCATTCTCTTTCTCATTTGTATATGTGAGCAACGAGACATAGACGTATATATCATCATTACTTGTTCTATTTCATTATATTGATGCTGATCGACGATAATGTGCGTATTGAATGTAAGACCTTTCTCACAACTTTTGCCAGCTATAATATGGAGATGTGTATATAGATCTTGGTACAAATCCGGCACCTGATGTACCAATTTTCTCTGTAGTTCTGACCTCAGTAGTCTGCCACACGATTATCTTTTATAATCTTCCAGCATCAACTACACCAATGATGAAGACTTACATCATTTCTACTATTCATGCTGTCGTTAGTGTTCTAAGTGTATGTACATTCTATCTGCGATATACTGTCGACTTAACTCAAATAAACCGAATAGCAGGTGGAGGCATGAAGGGAACAGGCGATGAAATTATGGCATACAGTATATGTTATTCCATAGGCTATTTCATCTATGACTTTCTAATTATGTTGCTCTTTAAATCGGCCCGAACTACATCAGCATTAGTTCATCATGTAATTATTATATTGGGGTTATTGTCAGGTACGTATTGCGTCATTACATCGCAAGAACGCAAGACTATAATACTACTCCATCGCATTGTGTATTGCTAAAACATCAGATTAATTGTCGAATGATATTTTCGAGTAACATTAGTATACCTTCGGAAAAATTTGCATCCTAGATTCCTTAATCCTTTGACTTCCAACGATTCATGAATGCATGCATTGAATAAACCCATCAGTGGCGCACTGAAGCAGTCTCGACGGAAATACGTCGTTTGTTTATCGCTTCAAAGACTATTGTACAAAGGTGAACTGTTAATATTTTTTTCTAGTATCAAAATGCAATTTTGCTGTACAAAAAAAATGAGAATCATACAGGTTTCTAAAATTTTACAATGTTATCCTCGATGATTTCATAGACAAATGAAAACAATGTCTTTTGTGAAGTACATGTAAAATTTCATCAAAAGAATAATAGATTGAGAAGAATAGTGATAAAACAACGGAAAGATTTGATGGCAAAAAATTCTTGTCTTTACCCAAAATGTATCGGAAGTGGATAAATTCTCGGCGCAAATTTGAAGGACTGCTGCAGATCTTCTCAATATATTCGATTTCATGTAACAGAAATCGGCGATTGATATTTATTGCAGTAAGTAATACTGATATTTAAAAATATCAATCTCTAGTATTTGTAATCAAATCGTAGGCCGTAGGAAATGAATTTCTTTTTTGTTTTTTAAAGCGTAGACTCAGGTATTAGATGAACGTGTTCGTGTCATTTCTGATTGTTACTAGGTCTTTTCGCCAAAGTTGGTCATTCTTGCCATTTTTATTTGCTTATTGAAGAGTTCTCAACAATTCTACTAAATTTAAAATCAATGTATTATGATCGACCATATGCTCACCATTTATTATCAGTATTATTCGTGATCAGCTTTCTTTTCAGTCGTATATTATACGGAACGATCATTTGTGGTTATGCTTTTCGAACTGCACCTCGTTTTATTCAATTGGCTGTGAATGCAGGTGACACAACAACTTTAATATTCGTCGTGGTACAAACTGTACTTTGTCTCTCGTTAAGATGCCTAAATTTCTATTGGGGCATTTTAATTATTCGTAAGATATGTGGTCTGAAAAAATCTAAGAAGCAAACAACAGCACTTCACGACATTAACAAAAAAAAGAAAATATCTTGACTCGTTCATTTTCTTAAACAACACTTTTAACTATTCTGTGCATTGGGGAAAGTTGTTTTTTGACGATATTGATGAAAAAATCGTTGATATCACACATAAATATGTGTGCTTTAAATTATATAAAACGTCAGTATTAAGTTAAATTTCTCTTTATTTCCTCATACACAAGTAAAATAGATTGTGTAGCGGCGAGTACTCTGAATTCGACCTATTATTTCTCTAAAACTTTCATCATGAAAATATTTTAATTTCTCTCCTGCAGTAGAAAATAAAACTGCATGTTTTATACGATTGATAATCTTCAAAAGCAAACGTGCTCATGGGAATGTTTGTATCGATAAACCATTCTTCACACGTTTAGAATTTTAGTTTCTACTCCAAAATATAATCATATTTTACTTCCTTCGTACGTTTTACACTGCCATCTATGTTAAAAAGAATACATTCTGTTTCTTCTGTCGATAGCGGACTAAACGAAAAGAAGCTGACTATTTTAAGTAAGTAATAACTATTCAAACAAAGTAAGATAACCCTAGTGCAATGTTTGAATATCTTTAAAAAGTTTTTCTGATGTGTATATGTAAGTTATTGTGAATTATATTGGAAACACATTGAAGTATAAATATCATCTTTCAAATTTAATATGCGTCAAACCGGCGATCTTGATTGTGGTAATCAACAACGAAAAGTAGTTGAACAACGCGTGAACATTCAGAAGCCGAAGCAATATATATTGCATCAATGGAAATAAAACATTGATCATGTTTTGTTTGCACATGTTCTACTTGAAGTGTATGACGACATTTAAACCAAGTCTTTGTACTGAGAGAAAAAAATAACTTAAACAACTTGAAATAGTACCAGTGTTTTTATTAAGTCCATTCAGTAAAAGTCTCAAACAGAAAATTTTGAAAGAATTATATTTTTGAATATGAACAAAGCATTAGAAATTCGAGATCCGAGCCGAGCTATCAGAAGGATGAAGACCTGGAAGAAAAATAAAATGCACCTAATGTTGAAATATCTACATTAGATCTTAATGAATGCTATTCAATTTAAAAAGTAGAAGTTGATTATATTAGTAATATGTAAATGAAAAAATCTTTTAAATAAAACGACTTCATTTTTCTTATGTTTTTTTTGTCATATCGCTGTTCGTTTTATTTCGAACATTTCAATAATCAAAGGGAATTCAGATGTACGTTTATTTTTTACTTGACTTTGTTTCTTTCGTTCAAATAGATACAGGAATGGATATGAGTAGTGACGACGATGAATTTGACGATGATACAACTGATTATGATGAATTCGAAATTACAGGTAGTGAAATTCAAATCTGTTTTTCGTAGATGTATTTTTATAATATATAGATGACGACGAGGACGACGATACTGATGATGATATTGATGAATCAGAATCAGAATCACAGCCAACACATTTTCATGAATGTCTTCGTTTACTTGATGGTGCATTGAATACAAATAATCCACCTGTTCTTCCACGATGGTGTGCAAGTGAACAAATTGGAATTATTGATGATCCGATGTTATTAATTAATGGCCATAAGAAATGTTTAACATTACCAATGGACAAACGAGAAGCCCGAAGATTTATCCGAAAAGCTGTACCATTGGATATGAAAATTGATATTGTCGATGGAATTTCCGTATGTTATCTAAGAGAAGCTTTCGAATTTTTTCCATATCTGTCAAAAATCGTAGTTAACAGTGAATTACATAAAGTAGTGAGTTCACAGCATCTAAGAGCATTTTTTTTTCGTTGATTGGTAAATAAACTAACGATTAAATTAATAAAAAAAATTTAACTCAAGGTTTCAATAATTTTAATTATTATTTTTGATAAAACTTCTAATAAACTTTTTTTGTTTTAGTTTTCACCATCGTCTTGTCAATTGCCGGCAAATTCATTTAGTATCTTAAATCCCGAATGGACAACAAAAACAGAATCTTATCTAAAACGTTCATGTGTAGCACAAACACTGGAACTAGATCCGAATCAAATAGAATTAAAAGTATCAAATTTAGTGTTACTTGAACCAAGTCAATTTCCACGACAATTTACCTGGTCAAAGAATGAAATAAATCCGTTAGCTATAGCAAAATTATTTGTTAGTTTACCATCTTCATATAAAGGTGGAAAAGAAACAATAACATATCAAAAAGAAAAACACGTATTTGATTTATCGGAAAAAGATTCAATAAAATCAACTTTCTATACGATTGTTCCCGCGAGCGATGAATGCAAACATGAAATTGATTTTATATCTGGTGGATATAAATTAATATTGATTTATGATATTATTCCATTAACGCCAACTGTTTTCTATAATGTTTATATCGATGAAACAACAGCAATGCGTGTCGGAAAAGTTTTAGAAACATGGACTCATGGTTTGGAACATGATTATCATGGTTATTCATCGAAAATAATTATTCCATTTTGTGATTCATTTCATTTGGGAAATAATTTAATTTTACATGGAATGGATCGAGTTCTAGGAACGATTCTTCGAAAAACTATTGAACAATATTATTCAAATAAATATTTACTTTATCAAGGTCTTATTCAACCGAACAGATCTAATGATGGGACGGTACACGCTTGCCGATTATTAACGGACCTTAATTTAATGGTTCCGACAAATATAAATACGCTTTTGAATAAAATTGATTTATGTTTGGGAAATTGTAATGAAACTTTTTCAGGAAATATTTTTTCAAGAAAAACAAGATCGGAACAAGGTTTGTTTATTTATTGTTAGATATTTTAGTTACGATATAGAATAATATGAACGAATCAGGCGAATTGCAACGTTACTTCATTGATTAGTTTGCGCATTTAGAGGATAAATAACGCATTGGCTCATTTTTTGAATATCTCATGAGAAAATAGGAATCCAGTTTTCTTTTACGTTGAGATCTTAATTATTGAAAATTAATTTGTTTATTGTGAATAAATGTAACCGGAATCTTCAAACAGATTGAATTACGAACTATCATCGACTGTTTTTCAGAAAACCCGCGCCAAAAATTTCGAGCAGCAGTTTTACTCGTCGATAGATCTGTATTCCTTGAGAAAACTCCGACATACTCATCTCATTATTTTCTATCTATCCTGTATCACTAATCAAGTATTTCCATATTCTCGCGAGTCGACAAACTCAGTTGAGCACCGGTGCCTAATAATTTTAACAGGTACTACAATTAATTTGATTTGAATACTAGGTTCTCATAAAAACAAGTACTTCTGCTTGCTGTCACCAAGTGACAAGCACAATACACTCTTCAATAAATTCTTATCAAAAGAATATCTCCAATCCGTTCTGATTTTGTTTTTAAATTTAGGTAACTTTGTAAATTTGGAACAATTGGTTGTCCCCATCTGGTGTCTTGTTCCTATTAGTCATAAATATGACCTTTTAATTGACAATATTCCACGTGTATTAACACATCTGGAACAAAATTTAATTCCTCATCATTGTTATCATAAGGAAACATTTTTATTGATTGATTGGCTATTAAAAAGTTCGAAGAAGATCCATTTCAATGCTAAATTACTTCTTCATCAATTACTTCGTCTGTCGTCAGATGATACAATAACCTATGATCTTATTATTACAATTCGAGAATTATTCGAACATAAAAAGTTTCTTGAACAATTTTTTCCAATGACTAATGAACAAGAATATGACGATATTATTTATCTTTTAACTTATTCGAAAGATAAAAAAATTCAATTATATCTTCATCAAGTTTTTCGTACTGTACTTAAACGACGTTCACGCGATACAGATACAATCCGAGATGCTATTAAATTCATTGGAATATTGTTATCGCGAAATGTAAATTCTAATTTTTTACTTGTGCTTATTCATGAGTTACTTTCAAATATATTTCAAGAAAATAATCCAGTACCACCATCAGTAACTGATCTTGCTAATTTACTTGCGCTCTTATCATTTTCAGTTGATTCTTATGACCTATCATGTCAAATTATTTCTCAAGAAATTATTCGACAAATAAACATAACAAAAGTAACTACAACGAACACATCAACTATTACTAATCTTTTAAGGACTGTTCTTGTACCGACTATTATTCAAATTTATCGATATTTTATAAATGAACATCAGATATGTCGAAAAAGAAGTTCGTTTTTGACATCGAAAAAGAAATAATAATTTCACCATGTTCTTTTTAATTTAGAACGTGACTCAATGATTAATTTTCCTTCTTGGTTTTTATCACTTTATCAAACATGTCTTTCACTACTCAATAGTTATTGCAATAGTCCTCCGCCGATTCCAACTTATGCTAACCTTTCGAATATTTTTGATACTCATTGCTGTTCAATCTGCGAACAATTATTTATTTTTCTTCGAGATACAAGAACATTTGAAAATACATTCATTATTCCAAAAGATAAAATTGGTCATTTTAATATGATTGTGAATAAATTTGATCCATTAATTATTATGACAAAATCCATGATATCAGATAAAGAAAGTCACCAGATAAATATTATTAAAATGACAACATGCGATGAAGAAATATGCCGTGAAAATAATCTTCTTCGTTCATTGCTTTCTCATTTTCAATTGTCAAATCAGGCTGAACATCAGTCTGATACGACGAGAAAGAAACGGTTTAAACCGTCGATGTAAAGTTTCTACTTTTTCGTTTTGCTATTTTTATTTGGTTATCTTTGCAATAGATTCTAAACTTATTTATATATTTTTTTGTACTCAAGAAGAATTTTTTTCTCATTTTACAGAATAAAGATACTTGTTATATTGTGAACTCATGAAATGTGATCTTCTATCAATATCATAAATACATTCAAAAGAGAAAAACTATTCTGTTATAAGTGAAAAACAGATCTTTTGTTGCTCAACCCCCCCCCTCCCCACCTTGACACAATTGAATGTGAGTCATGCACCAGTATTCAATTTCATGAACATCACACTGATTCGACCATCCTGTCGTATACAATAGGTTTTCCCTGAAATTGTATTTAAAAATAAATCTATAATTATTTCTCTTACAAGACCGAGTAAGACTAGTGAAATAGTTAGATATTTTTATCTTAATATTACTAGACACACTGAATATATTCTCTTTGTTAGTGTTATTACTACCAGAACAATGAAATTGTTAGATGTAATATCATTTTCTCATCATATTTTGATAGGTTATTATAGATACATTAATTCAGAGAAAAATAATTTAAAGGAGTATTCCATACATGCTAGAAAAAACCTGCCAAAAGAAGACATAACACTAGAGTGACTCTGTAATCTTGATCGGCACCATCATTGGTTAGTGCTTGGCGATGTGTAATCAAATACACGGCGAATGTACCCAGCCAATGTCCTCCTTCGTAATTGTTTTCGTCTATAGCTGTTAATCCTGTTTGAGCATTTCTTTTGCTTAATTCGTATAGTTGATCTCGGCGATTGCTTTCTTGAATATCAAAGGAGAGAGCATCGGCAATTGCCTCTAACATCCATGCACGACTGATACATAGTCCAGCCAGGTGAATTAGTTTAGGATCAGTGGGATCGGCAATATAGGGTGGTTCAAGATTGTTCGGCAGCGTTTCTGTCGAAAGAAATTCATTGAACCATCGAATAAAGTCTTGCGGCTTTTTCTTCATTACACGACGCATCAGATCAGCTTCAGCTAGACCAGCAGAGAGAAAATCTTCACCCGATGGTTCGTAATTGAATGGATACGTTTTATCCGTATAAAAAAATGCAAGTGAGCGTTGTTCAATCAGTTGAACGAACACAGTATTGCGCATCTGATAAGCGTAATCAAGCGCGAAGCCAAGTGCGAAAGCTGTCTGACTGTGTTCACCACTACGAACAGGATACGATAGTTTAGGAAGCCAAGATGAGAGACGCGCAACAATCAACATTTCCAGTGGACGTATATTATCGCGCCATTGCTGAATCTCTTCAACATTCTACAAAAATAATATTCAAATAATATCAAACAGTTTTTAAACTTTTCTAAAGTATTCATTATATTTAAACATTTGTGTAAAAACTTCTACTGCATTTAGAAATTTACTCATGCAACTTTGAAATCTTAGAGATCTGAGGTTCTTTAGAGAACCGAAATAGAGAAGAAATATATTGCATTCATGTGTCTCCTCATAAATGCTTCAATTCTTCGCATGTCCAGCTATTTTTTCTTGCATCGTTGCAGAAATCGACGACTATCATTGCTTCTATTTTTAGGCAGAAGAGATTATAAATCATTTGTTTAATCCATCAGCTTATCTTCTTTTTTGAAACAATCTATGCGTGCATCTATTGTTTCGGTCGTTTCTGTCTAATTATTTCTCTCTCAGCTTTTGTAGAGTTTGTCCTATAATGTATCTCACTTTTCAACTGAGACTTCATCGTACATTGATAGAAAAAGAATGCTTTCGAAATAAAATTGATACCGAAGTCAATCTAAAAAGATTGAAATGGGATATTCTGATAGACGAAGTTTTATTGCAAAGGTATATGTGAAAGAATTTTCCTTCATTTGAAGAGTATGTTTCAGAAATAGGACATTGAAGCACAGGTTACTACAGTGTATGGATTTGAAACACGATAGATCGATTTCAACCATTTGTGAGAAAGTCAACTATTTCTTTGTAAGCTCGTGAATAGAGAAGCATCCAACTTGCCCAATAAAATACTAGGCAGTCACAGATGTATCGACATTTTTCTAATTATTATTAAGATATAGAATGAGAAGGATTCATTTTCTGATAGTACTTTACTGCGTAGAAATCATGTTTAAAAAACAACGAAGCTTGTAAAACAAACTGCAGATTTTTAAGACGTCGATCTGGTCTTTGATGATATCTTTTATTTTCAGAAAACACCGAATACAAAAACAAATGATAGATTACGCAGCGAAACTAAATTTGCAAACCGTATCTATAACACAGTGGATTCTTAGATAAAAATGAAAATTTTGAAATAAAATGGATTATTTTCAACTTAAGTTTGTCGAGAGCTATCTTCCAAAATCGAATCTGATAGTTTCAGACACTCCTAGTATTTTTAAAAATCAAATTTTACTAAAAATTAGAGTGTTTTTGAAAACATACTTCTGTTTCTACTAGTGCCCATTCATCTAATTCTGTGGCGAGTTTCAAGAACCACGCCAAGCCATAGGGCCGTTCAAATGATAATCGTTGGTTGTTGTTTATGTATGCAACTTCATTCAAAATGTTTTCCTTAGTAAAACTTTTCCCAAGTGCTTGACGACATTCTGCAGCTAGATTAACATCGATTCGAGCCAGACGAGCCAGAAGCCAATGCCCATGAACAGCCGAATGCCAATCGAAGCATCCATAAAAAGTCGGCGTTAATTGACGAGGTGGTTTTACGTCACTATCCGTAGCAAGAACATGAGCCAATTTATTTGGATATTCGCGATGAATACAAGATAGAGCAAGAGAAGCAAAACGACGACGCATCAGTGCTAAATCTATTCAAATGTTGTTTAAGAGAAATTAGATTCTTTTATTTTATGTAAAACAAAACCAACAATCTCTATTCCTATAGTAAGACAAACTCGACTAGTGTATACGGACCGAAAAAATGTAATTCTTACTTGTTAGAGTTTCATTATTGTTATTTATTTCGGTGGGTTGCCTCAGAATGTCTTGTCGTGAGCCAAATGCAGCTGCTGTTGTCAGAAGAAAAACAGACCATACACAAACAATCATCATATTTGTGAAAGAAATGGTATAATTATTGGACGTGTCTCTTGAGGTGCTGACGTTAAATAGTTGTGATCATAAACAAAAGTATGTAACTTTCATATTTAGTTGTATTGTAGCTCTGTATTGTCACCTCTCACATTGATAGAAACGATCATAAATTTCGAATACTCGACTGTTTCTGTCAGTTTACGACATGATGAAATACAGCAGGTTACAACTACTTTTTATGATCATTATCACATTGTTGATCGTTTCAGCTGAGCTAATTTTATACTATACGGAGGGAGAACAGCGTATTACTATTTTTTCGTGCAAAATGACAAATCTGCAATAGTTTCACATTGAATACTTACGTGTTTAGCCGAGTTTAGTTCGAATATAATCACCATTTGAAAACTACATAAAACATGAATCTAAATCTATTGGATTGCTGCTCGCCATTGCATGCACTATCTAATTATGAGTAGAGGTAACTTATCTATTGTGAGAGAGTTACATGCTCAAAATATAATTCGTCGGGACGTCATATCGAATAATGTCCTTATGTATACATAAGTACTGTACGACTGAAATTGGTGATATAAGGATTGTGTGTTATTTACAAAACTGCCAATCTTATAGGCCTCCTGAATTATATAAGAAGAATTACGATTACTCTCCCAATAAGTTTATTGTCGGGCTGACACTGTATTGTATGTTTACGGAGAAACAACTTATTTTCATGAAGATCAAAGTTAATGGCCTACATTTTTATAATTTGAGACTGTATTTGAGATCATCGTCAAACCTATGAAAAACAATCCTTGCATGCTAAAGCTCGTGTATTTCTAGTGAAATTTCCCAAAGAAGCTAAAATAATTATTACTGCTGCTTCTGCAAGCTAGAGCACACGAGGAATTGATTTTAAGAGAGAAATGCGAGTTTGGCCAGATCACGTTTTATGGTGATAAAAATGAGGGCATGGTAATAGTTGATGCTATAAGTATTGGTGATCATGTTGAACCATGGGCGAGCCAACGTCTTATAAGGAGAGGTGGCAATAAATAATAATGCCTATAATTTGCTTCAAATAACGTCATGTTTTGCCTGTGGCGCATGCATACATACAGATGGATATATGCGACAAAAATGTCTTGAGGGTGTGACAGTTGCCTTGTGATGGCCGGCCGATGTGTTGAACAGAAGACTCTGATACATTTACATACACATTGATACGCTTCACAGTTCAATATACTTTTTACGAAATGGAAGTATCTGCTGACTTTGGGCATAGAACAGAATCAAATCTAGATATGTTCAAATTTTATTATTTTCGGCTACAAACTGTAAATCTACTATTTGAATAGTCGAGCATCTTGCACGACATTCATGCAAACTTAAAATGTGCTGCATATTTCATCGAAGTCATAAACAGTAACTTTATTGATGGAGAAACAATTGAGAATTGTTTATCGAAACTGAGTCCAACAAATATATTCTATCAGAAAAATAAAATGTTTTAGAACTCTACAAAAAAGATCTAACAATAGAAGTACAGAAAGGTTTGATGAGTAGTCAACTTCTCGACCAATGAACACAATGGAGTAGCTTTCTATTTTGGTTATTTCGAAAAACCTATGATCTGCTACCACACTGTATACAACTTTTTCTTCTACCATTCTATTAATAGAGCTTGTTCCTAATATATTATGGCCCGTTACTCTGAGGATATTGAAGTGGTTGAGCTTCATTCAAAAAAGCTAGCTGATGAAAATATATTAACGTATACGATATGGTGAATTTCAACCAAACATAAGCAGAAAATGCAGCATTTTTAAAGTTTATCACAGTAATAAAAAAATATCAAGGACATTCGATTGATCTTAAATATTGGTTGAGTCGTTCAGATCTACCGTGTTCGATTGCCAGGAAGAAAACGGTGATACTTTATGTGTCCATCAATCCTCTGTGTTTCGTTTTCCACACCTTGATGTTTCAACATCGTACAGTAACTCTGCTATTGGATGTACATCATATATCGCAATCATATCATTTATTTTCTTTACCAAAAACTCACACAGATTTTCGATATTCATAAAAAACATCCCGCAAACAACGAAAGTAAGAAACAATAAATTACAATTCTTTTCGCGAAAAATAAAAATCACTTAAGAAAATTATATTTTGCTTTGTTTTGAAAAAATGATTGTTGATACTTCAAAGCGGATAATTTTAAGTTTTCTTGTAATATAAAGCTTAATTTTTCAAGTGTCACCATTTTTAAAAGCGTTATAAAATGTCTCAAAAATTATTGCCTACACTACCTTTCTTATCGGATAAGTATTCTTCATTGCCAAAAATCGTCAAAAACTTGTATTCATCACAGCACTATCTAATCGCAAACGTCAGCGTAGGCAAACACGCCCAAGCTCTCCAGTAGTTTACTATGAAGAGAGAAAAGCAAATATCAAGCCATATCGTTTCAGACAAACGAAATTTCGCGATGCATTAGTTCGATTCATTTTTGTCTTTGTGAGTAATAAAATATATGTGAGGATAATATCATGTAGTATTTATTCTTTTGTATTGGCTTGCTAGCATACATTCCTATAGAGTTATGCTGATCGTCATCCCAAATTGATTCATCCACACCCAATATGTAATTGATGTTTTTCTAACTCAATGTGAGCCCCCGGAGCCTTGGAATAATGATGGTTAATATTAGAGGTGGCACTTTACGTTAATTTAATATTAAGTGTTAAGTAAAATGACTTAATTAACTCAAATTAAAATCAACGGTCCACCCCTAGTTGATATGAAATTTGTTTCTTCTTAAGCAGTAAATGTTGGTAGTTCATAAATGCAACTATTTGCGGCATTTTTAAAACTGAAGATCTTGAATCGTTGAGAAGCTACCACAGCACGATCGGTTGAGATAAGCTACATACAATTCGTAAATACACGAGCGCTATCAACAACATCAATTACGTTGACACTTTTGCCAGTGTATATAGAAATTGTATGTAGCTTATCTCGACCACAGCACGATCTGTCAGCACCATCGTGCTAGCGATTTCATTGGTCCGGCAAAACAAACCAATCAAATTTCACAATAGTGGGCCCTTCTTGATGGTGCGGACTAATGTACATGTGCGAATTTCCAACGAAACCCAAAACAGCTATCCATTACAGTGCTAGTTCTCTCCCGGCCTACGAAGGAAGAGGGAGAAAACGCACAAAAACTGCAAAATCTTGCAGTTTCCAGAGACCCGACGGCCTCTGAGCGTCTCCATTCGTTTCCGGCGACTGAATTACATATCAATAGATGCCTCTCAACAAGGGCTATCCACTGCGCTGCTTGTTCTCTCAGGACAAACGAAGGGGTGGAGAAAATACCCTAAAATTTCAGTCTAGCTAATCCGAGCGACAAAACCTCATCTGACAATCTCCCTTCGTTTGCCAGGAGCTGTATTACACATTAATCGATGCCTTTTTAAAAGGGTTATCCACTACATTGATTGTTCTCTCCCAGCAAACGAAGGGACGGGGAGAAAATGCCCTAAACCGGAAAAACGTGCCGCTTCCAGAGATCCAACACCCTCTGACAGTCTCCCTTCATTTGCCCGAGGCTGAATTATACATCAATCGATGCCTCTCAACAAGGACTATCCGCTGCACTACTTGTCCTCTACCGGAAAACGAAAGGTGACTCGCGGATGCTGTTTTATCGGTCGGATCAGCTAGACTTTGTAGTTTTATGGTATTTTCTCTCCTTCCTTTCATTTTCCAGGAGAGAACAAGCAGTGCAGTGGATAGCCCTTGCTGAGAGGCATCGATTGATGTGCAATCCAGCCTCGGGCAAACAAAGTACGGGTGGCAAGGGGGTTTTATTCTTCGAACTAGCAAGGTTTTGCAGAGTTTTAGTATTTTCTGTGAGTTTCCCGTTTTTGTGACAGTGTTTGAGGATTTTTTTGGGTGGCTTGGTCATCTTTTGGACGGTGGCATCGTTATTCGGTTGTTGAATTACTGAAAACTGTTATTTTGGGTGGTCTCCACGGACATTTCAATTGAATCTTATAGAGTAAAATATGGATCGATAGTGGCATAATGTTGATCATTTCTGATTGGTTGTGTATAGCTGTAATTCTATTGGCTGTCGTGGTGGCTTCCCTTCGATAGATCTCTGTATGAATGATATTTTGTCTCGTTTATCAGATAGATCAGTGAGTTTTGATGTAAATCAATTATGAGCATTAGTCGGTCTAAACATAAAAGTCTGTTGAAAAATCGATCGCTGAATGAATGCTTTCATGAAGATGTGGCATTATTAAACCAGCGCGAACATTCCTGAAGTATAAATGGCAAGATCTACAGCAATTTTGCGTCTTTATTAAAAGATTTCTTCGCTTTTGTTCATATTCTACTAGAAATTTAAGTATTTGTGTCACAATTGAGGTAATTGATTATCAAGACTGGTACACTTTCAGTTTTACACATTCAGATATTTTTACTATGAATGACTGATTGTAGGTCTTACAACGCTTTTCTTCTTACACAACGATGCTAGGAGCTATTGCGTAATAGAGACGGGATCAACATAAACAAAATACTGAGTTTACAATCAAGAAATATTTTCCTGCACTGTTTTTCTTTATTAACAACCATATTTAGTCAACCTATCCCAGGACGAGCTTTACGACGTCCGTATACGGTGAAATACGGGCCGTATACGACGGTAAATCGCCGTATTTGGCCGTATTACATGGCTCCGTATTACGATCGTAAATCTCCGTGTCGTAATACGGTGAAATACGATCAAAAACGACCGTAAAGCGCCGTATTTCGCCGTATACGGCACGGAGATTTACGATCGTAATACGGAGCCATGTAATACGGCCAAATACGGCGATTTACCGTCGTATACGACCGTGTATGTTCGACCTGGGTAGCTTCGAATTAATAGATATTCTATTGATGTAGTACACAATGGAAGAATTCAATTTATTCTACTTTTCTTTCAAGAAGGT